AATCGGACATTTACGTACCTATGTAAGAAATAAATATAATGTGTCACAAAGTTCCTACATCCTAGATAAGAATTGCTTACCTTTGTTGGTTAATCAGTAATCATGAAAATAAGGAAGCAAAGCAATCGTGAGAACACCTGAAGGATTTTGTTGTAATAAAAGAATGAAAAATTACACAAACATTCCTCATATTTTATCAAAAGAAATTTTACACGCTTGACATTTAAAATACTAATTTTACGTCCCTAACAAAACATATTTATTTAAACCAAAATCTCTAATTCTAGCCATGTTTTAGCCTAAAACTAAGCCATGGCCTAACCACAATTAAATGTGAAGAGGTCAAATGATTACCCATCCCATGACCCAATTCAAAAATTTAGAAAGAAAAATGTGTAGTTTTCGTTTATTAGAATATATAATAAAATAAATAGTAAAAGTGCAAATAACATTTTCCTTCGAACAATTATGTTTTAAAATAATTCTGAGGTTAAATTGGAACTGCAAAAGAGTTCTGGATCCAAAATAAAATAACTATTTTTTTTCTTCTTGTGCGGGCATCTCCGTCTGCGTCGTCTTCGACTTGTAGAATTTCTCATCTGGCTGATTGTGTCGACCGATACAGTACAGTACAGATATAGCGGCAGAAAATTTCCAATTTGATCGTACTCAAAAGAGTCTTGAGCACGGAGACTAAATGGGGTCTTTGGAGGACACTGAAATGGTGAGGACGGAAGTAGAGGAGTCAAAGGAAGCAATCTTATATGTTAATGGTGTCCGTCGAGTTTTGCCTGATGGATTGGCTCATTTGACTCTTCTTGAGTATCTCAGAGGTAATTTGGAAGGCTAATTTATGGGAGATCTTCCTTGCTCGATTCGTTGTTGTTGTTGTTGATTTTTTCTTTGGTTTATTTTTCCGTTTAAATTGCTCATAAGTTTAAATTCTATCAACAATAAATATGTATTGTCTGCTATTGTGTTCCATCATTCATAGGGGATTATGATGAGTAATTTGAATCATGGGTAAGATAATGGTAATTATGGGAAGGGTTATTATCACTTTATCCCTTTAAACTATATCACTACTATCAGTTTACCCCCTAACGTTATCTTTTAATCACTTTATCCTCATAAGTAATCCAACTCAACATGTTAAGAAATTTTGGACAAAAATTCCCTTTTATTTTATAGCATTACTACATTGTTATTATCATTTTATTCGTTTAGATTATAGTGATATAATCACTTTAATTTCTAACATTATTTTCTAGACATTTTACATCACCGTTAATCTAACTAGTATGATCAAAAAATTTTAAATATATTTACCATTTTTTATATATAATTAAAAATAAAAAAGTTGGAATGGTTATTCTTCCTTTTTTTCACTTTAAGAGATTGAAAACATAAAAATAAATGAATTTTCTCAAATTTCTTTTTTTCAAATTTATTAATACTAGGAAAAGAAAAAGAGATAGGAAAGAAGGAGACAAAAAATTAGATTTTGCAAAAAAAAAAATAAAGAAAAGTCTAACATTATCGTATTACTTTAAGGATGTCGAGATTAGGATTGGAATTTGGTGGTAAACAAAAAAGTGAAATAATTTTAAAATAATAAAAGTATTTAATTCTTTTTTATTTGTAATTTTTAAAAAAAGAATTGAGCTCTCTCTCTCTCCCTCTCCCCCTCCCCCTTCCATCTTTCTATTTTTTTTCAATATTAATAAGATTGCTAAGAAGAAAAAAATTAATACTTTGACATTTTTTCTTGATACTAAAAAGGAGAAGAGTCACTTTAAATTTTTTATTATTTTTATTATGCAAAGAGGAGGGTATTTTCTTCTAAAATTTTTTAACTTGCTAAGTTGGTTTAATGGTAGGATAAATTGTCTAAAAAAATAACACTATGGGGTAAATTGATAATGAGACTATATTTTATGGGGTAAAGTGATAATAATTTTAAGGGTTCAACATGTTTTTTCACTTTAATTAACAAACTCCGTTAAGTTTGACCGTTAGTCTTAGGAGTAAAGTGACTAAAAGATAACGTTAAGGGGGAAATTAATAGTAGCACCAAACGTTAAGGGGGTAAAGTGATAATAACCCTTATGGGAAAAAGGTTTGAGGCCATGCCCAAATTGAAAAATTCTTTAGAATTTAAATTTTGACTTGCTGGAAGTTTCTTAAGCAAGGAGATTAGTTTTTAAGTAGGCGATAAGATGGCTGGGCACAGGTGAAACAATGGTTTTGTGTGTCTGCTACTATAGTTTAGTTCTTGAAAGTTTTCTCAAGCAAAAAGTATAGTTTCAAGTTGACATAAGATGGCTGCGAGAATTGCTTATGTTGACTGATTGAGTAGGAATTCACTGGTGAAGCAATGGTTTTGTGTGTCTGATACTGTGGCTTAATTCTGAAATTGTTTAAGTATGGCCATTCAATTATGCTCATACTTACTGATTGAATTTTAGTTTCTTTGTGGATTATGAATGTCCAAGATCCTAATTTCTTCTGATTCCAAATGTGTTCATAATGGAGAAAATTATAAAAAAAAAGGTGGATTAGATATGACAATAGGACGAAGATAATTAAATAAGGTGAGTATGTAACATGAGATATAGTTAGCCAGTTTGGGATGACAGGAAGTCCTGTATCGTTTAGCTGTCACCAGAGGTTGATAGATGTATTGTTGGCTGTTGTATTAAGCAATCGTGTTTGTTATTTTAATTATTTTTTGCTGTGGTAATTTTGTTGCTTGAAGATGTCCATTTTCTTGCTGGATATACCCAAGGGTTCTGTTCTGATGAACATTAAGGAAATGGAAATAAGTTGATAATGTTTATAGTTCTCTTTGGCTTAGATAACATCATATACTGACTAATGGAGAGGCAACCACTGAGCAAGTATTCTTGTCTTAGAGTTTCTTTCTCGTTTATGCTAATTTTCCCTGCCAAAAAGGGGTGCTTCTCTGCTAGTATACATAGACCTTGGGAATGGAATAAAGCAAGTCATATCTGTGAATGATAAATGTCTCAGATCGACAAGGAATACTTACTATTCGAGATGCGTTATCATGTATCTGGACATTTGATTATTCTTTCCTTACTAGACTATTAGTACGTTTTTGGATCTTGGGATATTGGTCAGCTCAATATAGTGATATGTTGACTACTTGTATTTCTTTATACACTCTTAAACATTTTATAGAGGACGAAGTTCATTTTAGGAACATTTAACAAATGTGACACATTGAGGTTATTTAGCTTTTTTAAATTTATCTCCATCATTCTTTCACGTGCTTGATTCTCTTTGTCATTGTTTAGGTATTTCTGCTCATAACTTGGTAAAGACCTGAGGTAGGGTGTTTTGTGTTCTTTGTTAGACATCATTATGGTTGTTAAGATGCACAGATCGTGAACTTATACTAACATTTCTGTAATTAAAAAAACTCTAATTTCTTGATATAGGACCTGGTCATTCCTAAACAGTTACAATAACATGGATTTGGGTGCAAGGGTTGAAGTTGCTTGGTTTTTTGTGTTTTTATTAGACTTTATGCAATGTGACTTCCCAGCTCCCTATCTCCTTTAAATTTTCTCTGTACTTAAACATTTTGGGTGTTTCTTATAACTAACTATTATATCTGTCTTGCTTTCTGAATGGTAATCTAGGTATAGGTTTGACTGGTACCAAGCTAGGATGCGGTGAAGGTGGTTGTGGGGCATGCACTGTCATGGTTTCTTTTTTTGATCAAAACAAAAAGAAATGTGTGTGAGTCTCTCTCTCTCTCTCTCTCCCACAAAAAGACCACATACCTGCTCCAGGCACTTGCTGACAGTGTAGATATTGTTCCAGAGACTCTTCTTGCTTTGTTTTTCTCCTTTTCATTGCTTGATGTTCGCTTAAGGTACTAAATTGAGATAGATATGGAAAGAAAAGTAATGTAAAGGTTTCTGCTTGTTTTTTGTGATCACCTTGAATGTGTGATGAACGCTAAAGGATGGCTCCAGATGCGTCTTCGATACATGACTGAGCTTAAGTTTCTAAGTCAAAATTCAAGCACAAATATTTGATTTTCATCTGAACTATTTCGTGAGCAGCTACATATTACAATCTGGCACAAGTTTGCGATAATATTTTTCTTAATAGAGTTTTAATTTCAACTATTAATTATAGACACTTTACCATTTTGGAATTGTAGATAATTAAGTAGTACTGACTATGAATTCCTCTCTAACAACAAAAGCTCAAGTGGACTGCATGATGGTAGGCAAAGGCATTTCCAAGTCAGGTGCTAAAACTGTAGCTACATATAAAATACTGCTAGTTACTTTCATTGATGATTGTGTAATGCAAAATATATTTTTTCCATCGAAATGTTAACATGTAAGCTTTTCTATGATTGTTAAAATGTAAAAGGATAATGCATTTCGTACAACCTCCTCCTCATGTATAGTAAGACATAAATGTTTAAACCTTGTTCACAAAATTCAGTAATGAGTAAGTTTACCATGCATGTGTTACATGAGTGTCTATTAATGTATACTAGATGTGATTGACTGTGGTCCTTGACTGGTTGTGTCCTTATTTCTGAAATTCTTAGCAGTGTACTATGTGATGTTTGTAAAGCAACCTGACATATTTTAAAATCTGCTATTGTTTTACAGTGTAAGCATGAGCAACTAGCATTGTTATTTTAAGCTTTAAGCATCAAATAGAGTTTGACTTTGTGCTTTACCCCATAAAATGTTTTTGGCAAAAAAATTGTCTTGAAAGGTATATTTCTCTTTTGGGGGTTTGGTGCACGGTGTTGCATGAATGATTTCCCCTTCACCCTCTGAGGAAAAAATGTGCTATTTGATCATCAATATTTCATGCTTAGGTTCTGTTAGGAGAATATTAGTATTCTTGTAGATAATATATTAGTAAGGGTATTCTTGTAAACAGTCCGTTAGGTTTGTACTCCTATAAATATTAGTTGGGTGCTTATGATACTGTGACTAGATGTTTTCCTCCCAAGATACCTCTTTACATGGTATCAGAGCAAGAGTCCTAGGGTTTAGGTTAAACATCTAGCAAAAGTACTGTTCACGGCGCACTGTTCACGCCGGCACTGTTCACGCGTACTGTTCACGCGTCTCGAGTTTTGACCCTTTCTTGGGTTTGAAGTGCTATTCGCTATGGCTGAAAGTTTATCAAAAAGTATTGTGACGTCCACTAATATTATGCCAATGGTGATGCCTCAAATCACAAATTGGAAGTTGAATGATACCAATTATCAACAGTGGTCAAAAGCTGTTAAGATTTATCTGACAGGCTTAGGAAAGCAACGTTATCTCACAGATGACTCTCCTACGGAGGATAGCAAGAAACTAATGTGGATTCAAGAGGATGCCCAAATTCTTGGAGCAATATGGAATTCTATGGAGCCACGAATTGCTTACATGTGTTCTCATTGTGAGACAACAAAAGAAGTTTGGGATTATGTCCGGTTATTATATTGCAGTAATCTCTCACGGATGTTTGATATTTCTTTGGAGTATTTTCAGTTGCAACAAGATAACAAGACAGTAACTGAATACTTTGCTGATCTTAAGCGAGTCTCAGAGGAATTAAATGCTGTAATGCCTCTCTCAAGTGATATCAAGGTTATGCAGAGGCAAAGAGAACAAATGCTTGTGCTCAAATTCCTGGCTGGTCTCAAGCCGGAATTTGAACCAATCAAATCTCAAATTTTAGCAGGTGAACAATTACCATCCTTTGCAGAGGCGTATGCTCGGGTCTTACGTTCTGCATCTAAGGACAATGCACAGGGTGATGGTCCTTCATCTTTATTACCTGAGTTATCGGGTTCACCAGATTCCACCACTCGATTATCTCATCCTAATCTTCAAGTTTATTCTCGTCGTTCCATGGTTGAGAAAGCTCCTGATATGCTACGCACTTCACCAATTAACTCTCAATCTTCAGATCCAGGTATGACGCCCTCTTGTGAGTCAGATCTTCCTATTGCTTTACGTAAAGGTAAGAGACATTGTACTTCTCATCCTATTTCTAATTTTGTCTCTTATTCTCGTCTCTCTCTGTCATATTCTTCTTTTGTTGCATCTCTTGATTCGGTATCCATTCCTAAGTCTATTACCCATGCTCTCAATGATCCTGGTTGGAGGTTAGCTATGCAGGAAGAGATGCTTGCTTTGGAGAAAAATGGTACTTGGGATCTTGTCCCTCGTCCTTCAGGTAAGCCTGTTGTTGGTTGTAAATGGGTGTACACTATAAAGGTGCAGCCTAATGGTTCTATTGATAGATTGAAGGCTCGTCTGGTAGCTCGAGGATTTACTCAGGTGTATGGAGTAGACTACTTAGAAACATTTTCTCCTGTTGCAAAGATTACCTCGGTTCGCCTTCTTATCTCTTTGGCAGCAACTTACAATTGGCCATTGCATCAGTTGGATGTGAAAAATGCATTTCTGCATGGAGATTTGGAAGAAGAGGTATATATGGAACAACCTCCTGGATTTGTTGTTCAGGGGGAGAATTCGCAGTTGGTTTGTTGTTTGAAAAAATCCTTATATGGATTGAAACAGTCTCCAAGGGCTTGGTTTGGCCGGTTTAGTAGTGTGGTCATGGAGTTCGGTCTGACGAGATGTGGAGTAGACCACTCTGTATTTTATGGGCATTCTAATGCTGGTAAAATTTTATTAGTTGTTTATGTGGATGATATTGTGATTACAGGTGATGATGTTGTGGGGATCCAGAAACTTAAATCCAATCTGCAGGCAAACTTTCAGACAAAGGATTTAGGTCATTTACAGTATTTTCTGGGTATTGAGGTAGCTCGGTCTAAATATGGGATTTATTTATGTCAAAGGAAATATGTACTCGATATGTTGAGTGAAGTTGGGATGTTAGGTTGCCGACCTGTGGATACTCCTATGGATCCCAATGTGAAATTAGCAAGAGATCAAGGAGCATTACTTGATGATCCTAAGCAATATCGAAAACTTGTGGGTAAGTTAAATTATCTCACTGTAACGAGACCTGACATTTCATTTGCAGTGAGTGTTGTGAGTCAATTTCTTGATACTTCTCGTACTAGTCATTGGGATGCTGTTATACGAATTCTCAGGTATCTTAAGGGTGCTACTGGAAAAGGGTTGCTATATCAAAATCATGGACACACTGATATTGAAGGATATAGTGATGCAGATTGGGCCGGTTCTGCCTCAGATCGAAGATCGACCACAGGATATTGTGTGTTTGTTGGTGGTAATTTAGTGTCGTGGAAGAGTAAGAAGCAAACAGTTGTCTCCAGATCAAGTGCAGAATCTGAATACCGTGCTATGGCTCACACTGTGTGTGAGTTGGTTTGGTTGAAAAGCATGTTAGTTGAAATTGGGTTTGAGTATAAACAGCCTATGAATTTAGTGTGTGATAATCAGGCGGCTGTCCATATTGCGTCTAATCCAGTGTTTCATGAAAGGACAAAACATATTGAAGTTGATTGTCATTTCATTCGAGAGAAATTACTTGATGGAATCATCAAGACATCTCATGTACCGTCTGCAGATCAATTGGCTGATTTGTTTACCAAGAGTTTAGGGGGCTCTAGGGTGAAATACCTTTGTAACAAGTTGGGTGCTTATGATATATATGCTCCAACTTGAGGGGGAGTGTTAGGAGAATATTAGTATTCTTGTAGATAATATATTAGTAAGGGTATTCTTGTAAACAGTCCGTTAGGTTTGTACTCCTATAAATATTAGTTGGGTGCTTATGATACTGTGACTAGATGTTTTCCTCCCAAGATACCTCTTTACAGGTTCCATCAATTTTGTGCAAGTCCTCCTTGAGTGGACATCATGTATTTCATGTTCCACTTTTTGGACTTCCAACTTGTCACCAGAAGAAATTCTACTATAAGTTTTGACTAGGAGATAAGGATAAGCAAGGCATTAAATTAGGAATACAATGATTTAATGACTTTATAACTATTTGGGTGTAGCTTATATTTTGGTTCGGTGTCTTTTGCCATTTAAGTGACTATTTTCTTCTTCTTTGGGTTCATTTCATAGAAATTGAGGTTTGCAACAAAACGAGTTCCATGGATTTGCCAAAAAACCACATATTGTGATCATGGATCAGAGCAGCGCCCCCCCCCCCCCCCCACAAAACAAAAAAAAAACACTTTTTTCTCACTCGTTTGTCGAACTTCAATTTGATATCAGATGTAAATGCAGTCCACAACATGGCCGTACAAAATAGATTGGCATTCTCCACCAGTCTGCGATATATTCTGGTTATTCTCACATTATAGGATTTTCTTCCTCTTTACCCAATGATTACTCATATTTCCACTACAATGTAAATAGGAGAGCAAGAGTTGAGTGAGATACTTTGCAGTGATATGATTCTAGAGCAACTAAAATTAGGTATGCAGCCTAACACGAGGTTATCAAAACTCTATTAGCTTGAGAGATAGTTCTCTTGTATTCTTGATTTGTGGAGAGCTTCAAGAAATTAAATTACATCTAGAAAACTTTCATATGCTCTGGAGGAAGGATTTTATTGAATCAAAGGATCCCATCATATAGCTGATTTCTATTCATATTCATGTTTAGCATGTATTTCATTCATTATCTTTTGACGTTTAAATAACTATTGTCTTCTTCTTTGAGTCCATCTCATTGAATTTCAGGTTTCAAGCAAGATTAGCTCCTGATTAAGGTTTTTCATGAATTTGCATAAAAACCCAGAGTTTGGTCATTGACCAATACATTACTTATTCTTTTCACGTTCTGTCAGTGTCTCATTCAGAAGAAATGCTATCATCCTGTGGTAGTTGTATACAGACTCTATTCCTCATAATTCTACCTTTGCTGATGTGTGGCTTGTTAGATAGAAGCAGAAATTCATGACTTAAATGTGATACGACTGTATCTTTCCATAATGTTATATTCTCTCTTTGTAACCGTGAATGGCTATTACACTTACCTTACAAGCAAGGAATTGATTATGCTCTTTTCCAACATTTGATTTTTTTATGTGGATTATGTTATAATTTTTGTGATAAGCCAAAAAATAAATAGCTGTGTGTGATGAGCTGCAAGAATTGTATTTCTTTTGGTTGAATATGCATTTCATACCTGTGAAAACAGTTTAACTTCTAAAAGCAAAATATAAGTACAGAGGACTACGGCATTGCCTGTGCATGAAATCACATGAAATTCATTATATTCGTTTTCCATTAGAACTCTTGGGTTACACCTTATTTACAAGGTTTTGCTTCAACTTTTTTGTCCGCCTTTTCCCACTATGAATTTATTTTCTACATGATTTGTGTGTTGCGATGTGTGGTGCTCTCTATTTGTTATTTAATCTTATTTCTCTTGTTGGACTAGCTAATAATTTAAATTCATTTGATGCAAATGTTTCATAGATTGACATCATCTGACATCATTGTTTTTGATCCTCATTAAATTTCTAGGCACCAAGCAATTAATGCGTGTCTGGCTCCTCTATATTCTGTTGAAGGGATGCATGTAATAACAGTGGAGGGTGTTGGGAATTGCAGGCGTGGCCTACATCCTATCCAGGTTGTTTACCTAATTTATGCATGCATGATTTGCAACCAGTCATGCGTGTGATTTTTTTTTTTCCTTGTCTAGAGAATTATTGAACTATAATGGAGACAAACTTTTTTTAAGTATACTTGTGCAACCATAAAGAAAAAGAAAAGGAAAAATGGATCAGTAATTCCAGAGGTGACAGGATCAGTAATTTGAGATATGAGAGTGGTAGGTTTCCATTAACACCTTCTGGTTTGACGTGGTATTGATTATTTGGAGGTCAATTATAAGTCAGAAACCCTTGGATGCTTTACTTGATTGTGAATTTGGTGTTGTTTCTTCTTTGATTATTTTGCAGGAATCCTTAGCACGTTCTCATGGCTCACAGTGTGGATTTTGCACTCCTGGTTTCATTATGTCCATTTACGCATTGCTACGGTCGTCTCAAGAACCACCAACACTAGAGCAGATTGAAGAAAGCCTTGCTGGAAATCTTTGTCGATGTACAGGTTATAGACCCATTGTTGATGCATTTCGAGTGTTTGCCAAGACTAATGACAGCTTATATGTTAATGGAGCCTTGGAAGGCCATAGTGGTCAGTTTATATGCCCTTCAACTGGAAAGCCATGTTCTTGTGGGTTGAAACCAGGAAATGAAGATGAGAAGCTAAAAACAGATAGGTGCTCTGTTGATGATTATAGTCCAGTCTCCTATAGTGATACTGATGGAACGATATTCACCAACAAAGAGCTTATATTCCCCCCTGAGCTTTTATTGAGAAAACTAACTTATTTATGTCTAACTGGACTAAATGGCCTGAAGTGGTATAGGCCTTTGAAGCTTCAGCATGTATTAGACCTAAAAGCAAGATATCCAGATGCAAAATTAGTTGTAGGTAACACTGAGGTAGGTATTGAAATGAGGCTCAAAAGGATGGAATATCGGGCTTTGATATATATTGCACACATCCCTGAACTTAACCAGTTGAGTCTCAATGATGAAGGTATGGAAATAGGTGCTGCTGTTAAACTTTCAGAGCTCATGAAAGTACTGCAAACTGTTTCAGACAAGCGTCCTCCCTATGAGACTTCATCATGTAGAGCTCTCATTGAGCAGATCAAATGGTTTGCCGGAACACAAATAAGGAATGCTGCATCTATTGGTGGAAATATCTGTACTGCCAGTCCAATATCAGACTTGAATCCTCTTTGGATGGCTGCAGGAGCAAAGTTCCGCATCGTTGATGGCAAAGGGAACATTAGAACATGCCCGGCTGAAAAGTTTTTCCTAGGTTATCGCAAGGTGGATATGGCTAGTAGTGAAATCCTGCACTCAGTGTTTTTACCTTGGAATAAGCAATATGAGTTTGTCAAGGAATTTAAGCAAGCTCACCGGAGGGATGATGATATTGCAATTGTTAATGCTGGAATGAGGGTTCTTCTTGAACAGAGGGATACAAAGTGGGTAGTTTCTGATGCTTCAATTGTTTATGGTGGTGTAGCTCCTGTTCCCCTTTTTGCATATAAAACAAAACTATTTCTGATTGGAAATACGTGGAGCAAGGAGCTAATGCAGGATGCTTTGGAAGTTCTACAGGAGGACATTGTGTTGAAAGAAAATGCTCCTGGCGGAATGGTTGAGTTCAGAAAATCTTTAACACTTAGTTTCTTCTTCAAATTTTTCTTGTGGGTATGTCACCACGTTGATGGACAAACATCCTGTCCTTCAGGCATTCCTTCATCCCATCTCTCAGCCATACAACCATTTCATCGAACATCTGTAACTGGAAGTCAGGACTTTGACATAACAAAACATGGAACTGCTGTAGGGTCTCCTGAAGTCCATCTTTCATCGAAACTTCAGGCAAGAATTTTCTCAACCTGCACCAAAAAAAATAAAAAAAAAGGAAAGCAAAAAGAAAGAGTAGAGGAGAAATCGGATGGTTGATGTTGTAATTGTTAATTTCTTGCATTTACTACTTGCCTGATTGACAGTTGCAAAATTTCATGCATCAGGGGGGGATGGTTGGGGTGGGCGGTAAGGTGGGAGGGGTTGTAAGGAAGAGGTCTTGGGTTCAAGACCTCTCACTTACCAAAAAATAAAAAAAAAAGAATCATGCATCAAACAAGAGCTATATATTGTATCAGCAACTATGGTCAAGTCCGATATCTTTGTGAGAAGACAAAGTTGCGTAATATATTACTAGGTCATTGACAGAATTTGCTAGCCTTATTATTGGTTTGCGATTAGATGCTAGCATTTGTTGGTTTTCATGTTGTTTGGCTTTCTTTACTTCAGCATATAATTCGATGCTTCAAATTTACAGGTTTCAGCTAATTTGACCATGTGAACACATGGAACAGCTAATTTTGTTGTTGCTGTCTGCTCTTTAGCTTTCGTTCATCACTGGTGTTAACACTTGGTAAATGGAATAACTATCTGTACTCTGCTTTTGATATGACAGCATAACTTTCTTTTTCATACTCCTGATTTTAGTTAATCTTTAATCTTTCTTTTGTTTTAAAAGCATTTAATCTTTTGTCTTGTAGATTGTGACATATGTTTTTCTATTAACATGGATTTCAACTGCCATGAGCTTGTTGGTGTCATATGAACCTCTATGAAGTAATGAACTTGTTAAAGTTGTAGATGACAAATCACAAAATTTACTGTCCACACAATTTTGAATTTGTGTAAGTTTGATATGAAGGGAAATGCTCGACAACAGTATCTATGATTTTTAACAGCTCTTTTGTATTTATTCTTCTGCATGCATGTTAGAGAAAGAGCCAGCTAAATATGGGATATGCTCTATTGCCTTGACGGGGATGGACAAATTGTGACTTAAACATTTTGTGCCATACCCTGTAAAGAGAGCAATTGTCTAGCTAGTTTTATTACCTCATGCGATCATGTAAAGTTTAGTTGGGATGGTTCACATAGTTTATCTAGCTCTATCCGTCCCTGATACCTGTTGTCTTTACTGAAGTGCCATATGCTACACAAGCAGAGGCTTCCTTTAGGGCATGGGGTTTTGGTTGCTACACCAGTGTACACTGGTTTAATTGTTTCATGCATAATGTCATGTTTTCTATCTGCAAGCACAAAGAATCTTCTTGATTTGTTTGGTTGTTTCATTTCTTTGCTGTTAAAAGTTTTGCCTCAGTCATTTGAATTATGTGAATCCACTGCAGTTCCTTTTTGGCAATACTTGCTTATATTTGCTCTATTTTGATGTTTTGAACTAATTAGAAATTTTTGGCGGTAGTTAGGTTAGATTCTTATGCTTGAGTATGGGATTTTTGAAGAAATGAATATTCTGAGGTCTTAGGTGATACTTTAATTGTTTACAGGTTTCAGGAGAGGCAGAATATACTGATGATACCCCAGTGCCTCCCAACAGTTTGTATGCTGCTTTGGTGCTAAGTAAAAAGCCTCATGCACGTATACTGTCTATTGACGATTCTGGAGCCAAGTCTTCACCTGGGTTTGCTGGAATCTTTTTTGCTAAAGATATTCCTGGTAACAATAATATTGGGCCTGTCATTGCAGATGAGGAACTTTTTGCCTCGGAATTTGTCACTTGTGTTGGTCAGGTAGATATTATGTTTTGAAGTTTCTTTTTTCTGTTGTAGATGGATTAAAGTTTTGGTAATCAGCGAGACATAATTGTGTTTTACCAAATAGTTGGACTCTTGTTAAAATATCTGAATGGTCACGTCACTGACAAATCTACAAGTTGTTGCACAGTTAGAGTTTCATTAATGCACGATAAACTCTGACACTTCTTGCCTAAGTCACTAAGTGCTTTTGGAGACATACCCAAAGCAGAGTCAAGCCTTTGTACCTTGGTTAGACTGAGCAATGCAAATCCCTGAATTTTACTAGCTGTAAATAACTAGAACAATCACAGCAATACTGAATAAAGGTGAAGATAGACCATTATTAGCTGGAAAAATATGAACAGGTGATAACTATTAAAACCTTTTAACAAAGATACCTGTCCAGGTGAAGAATATGCAGATGTATTTGTTCAAGAAACCTGATGAAAAAATTGAAGAAGATTATTAATTGAGGTCTCATAACTAGCTTGGGAAGTCTTGCTATGAATATGCAAAGAACTCCAGATACTTGTTATCATAAATTACAAACTCGTGATCATTCATCTGTTATTTGCACCTTTTAAAAATATGTTAATTGAGTTATGGACTCAAAAGGATGCCAGTCTCAAAATTAATTTTGGTATATTTGCTAGTGTCTCAATTGTGTTCTTATCACTTCAGGTAATAGGAGTAGTTGTTGCTGATACACATGAAAATGCAAAAAATGCTGCAAGAAGGGTTCATATTGAGTATGATGAACTGCCAGCTATTTTATCTATGAAAGATGCCATTCACTGTAACAGTTTCCATCCTAATACAGAAAAGTGTTTGAGGAAAGGTGATGTAGATCTGTGTTTTCAATCAGATCAGTGTGATAAAATCATGGAAGGGGAAGTCCAGGTCGGTGGTCAGGAACATTTCTACTTGGAGCCGAATAGCAGCTTAGTATGGACAGTGGATAATGGCAACGAGGTTCATATGGTCTCATCCACCCAAGTACAAAACTCTCACCTCCTTTATATGATCTTACCTTAATTTCCAAGTTCTATATGAGTATAGATTCTAAACACTAGTTAGTATCTATAAATTCCTCTGCAATAGCTGAGGAAGGAAGGCATCAAGGTACAAATGCTTTGATTTTTTTCTTCATCTATATTTCATTAGTGGAGTTCCTTTGGGGGTTCTTTTGTGACTTTTAATATCTAATGTTGTTTTCACACAACATCATTACAGTTGAGAATGATACATGGATTAGTTAGGTAACTTTTGTTGTTGACGGTTTTCTATAATGAGAATGAGAATGATGAAGAGCCCTACCTGCATAAAGGTGCATGAATACATTTTGAACAATTTAGCTGTTAACATCTAACTTCGTATGCATCTGAATTTCGTATGCCAGTAGATGTTTGTGTATAGTAACATTTATTGTATGCGCCAATCCAAAGGAAAGATTAATAGCTGCAGATAGTTTTTTTAGACACTTTGAAGAATTTTTTTGAGTGAGAAAAACAAATGGAAACCCGCAAAATTAGAGGAACACAATGTTTGAATGTGTTAATTATTTGTGTAAGAACAGCATGGAAGATTTTCAATAATGGACACAAAGAAGTGGTTTCTTCGCCCCCCTGCCACCTCTCCCTCCTGTCTATGGCTTCATGCAAGCACTTGCAGAATTTTAACAAGCATACTAGTGCTGGATTTAAGAATCCCATTCTTTATACGGGCACTAAAGTAGATAGACGATCCTGCAGAAAGTACATGTAATTTTTGCATTTTAGAGTTAATACATGCAAACTGACCAGAATGTGCCAATAGCAAGATTTCACCAAGATCTTTTCTTTTCACTTGAATGAAATCAAAGTAGCCTCTCTGTCTCCTTGTTCCTGTAACATAAACATTAAAATTCTTATCTAGCTTTATCATTATTGTGCTGGTTTTGGGAGTCGCATGCCTCATACTGGCGATAAAGTATCGAGAAGATTTTGCCAAGACCACATATGATTCTGGCTTTTTAGAGTTCATTAATATAAAGTTGGCAGAATGTGGCAATAACAAGATTTCACAAGTCCAAAGATAATCTTTTTTTTTTTGTATTCCGTTCTTCTTCTTCTTTCCCAGCTTTAATGAAATTATTGTGCTGGATTTTCGAGTCCCATGCCTCACTGATGCTAAATTATCGAGAAGATTTTTCCAAGGCCACATATGATTCTGTCTTTTTAGAGTTCATAGATGTAAAGTTGGCAGAACGTGGCAATAACAAGATTTCACGAGTCCAAAGATCTGTTATTTTGTTCTGTTCTTCTTCTTTGTCTTTCCCACTTTTAATGAACTGACATTGCAGTCATTTTTTTCCTGGTCTCAGTATAAGCAGTGATCTTGTTGAGTTTTATCATTTCATCATCATAATCAGATAAAGGTATCATTGCTTGTTATGCCTTGAATGAAGCACATGGATGTGTGTTCTCTAATCTCTACAGCCTTTGCTTTAGTGTCAGTTTATAAACTATTTCTCCATTCATTATCTTGTCAGTTAAAACAAAGTAGAAAATGTGATATTGCTTCAGAGTGGGGTAGAACTTGGAGCTTCTGATAAATCAAGATGATGATTGTGATCTTTCTGTTAACAATCTATGGTGTCATGTGTCTCTCACCTGCTCCAGTTGTGTGATTTATTTATTTTTGATGGATCTAAAAATGGGCAACCGCCTTGCTTTCTGCTTATTTCAGCCCTACCTTGCAAATTGCCTACTGCTTCAATGTCTTGTTCTTCTGCTTTTATCACTTTTAGAAGCAGAATGTACCATTCCCCCTTAATTGTTAACTCTTGTTTCTCCAATAGTAAATTATTGAAGTGAATGTAGTTGTCCTTCAGATGGTGTGGGGTTTGCATTTACTAACGCGACTGCATGGTAGACAAGAAAAGGAGACATTGTTGAGGACACAGGCTTTAGTTATTAATGGAAATGAACTTGTCCAGTGTATTTCTGGGGTATCATAACATAACTGGTTGTAAATTTCTTGCATATGCAAGGGATTTAAGTACTTGGAATGCATTTAGTTGGTTCTTCAATGCAGTGCACTTCATTAACAAATGACAATGTTTGGTGATTATATCATTCCATTACGATACACTTTGGAAAGCCGCAGATACGTTATAAAGTTTGTTGCAACTTGCATTTTGTTTTGCTCTTGGCTGGTGGTTTGGAAGATGGCAGTTCTACACCTTTACAGCAGCTCATTTGGTTATGTGATGGGGAGGATGTTGAAAAGTGAAAGTGATGAATATGTATGTTTGGGAGTGTACTGTGATTGGCTCGTTTTGGCTTGCATGATGCTCATATAAAAGAAAATTGACTTACCGATGTTCTTGTGCATTCAAATATCATTCCTGTTCTGCTTCACTCTGCTTTATATATGAAGGTAAAGTAGTTGAGATGAAAAGCATGTAGGAGAAAGATGACACTTGTACAATTGAACGACCATTGCAGTAACCATCAGAGAAGTCTCGTTCGTTCTCTAATGGGACTAATAAAAGCATAACATAACAGGTTGTAAATTTCTTGCATATGCAAGGGATTTAAGTACTTGGAATGTATTTAGTTGGTTCTTCAATGCAGTGCACTTCATTAACAAATGATAATGTTTGGTGATTATATCATACCATTACGATACACTTTGGAAAGCCACAGATACATTATAAAGTTAGTTGCAACTTGCATTTTGTTTTGCTCTTGGCTGGTGGTTTTGGAAGATGACAGTTCTACACCTTTACAACAGCTCATTTGGTTATGTGATGGGGAGGATGTTGAAAAGTGATGAATATGTATGTTTGGGAGTGTACTGTGATTGGCTCGTTTTGGCTTGCATGATGCTCATATAAAAGAAAATTGACTTACCGATGTTCTTGTGCACTCAAATATCATTCCTGTTCTGCTTCCCTCTGCTTTATATATGAAGGTAAAGTAGTTGAGATGAAAAGCATGTAGGAGAAAGATGACACTTGTACAATTGAACGACCATTGCAGTAACCATCAGAGAAGTCTTGTTCATTCTCTAATGGGACTAATAAAATCACCTCATTTTTGTTTCTGTGACCATTTTTAGGCAGAAAATTTTTGGAGTATAAAAACACAGGAGGAAATTGGTAAAGAAAGCCTTTAAATGATGGAAAGCAAAGTTTAATGACTATAGCACTCTCTCTCTCTCTAAATTTGTTTTGTATTTTCATAAAATTTGTTTGTCAGTGCTCTTTCTGGCAGATAGTTGTGACATAAAATTTTCATTTTTAGGCTCCACAAAAGCACCAGAAGTATGTGTCTCACGTTCTTGGACTTCCAATGTCAAAAGTTGTTTGCAAGACAAAGAGAATTGGTGGTGGGTTTGGTGGAAAAGAAACAAGATCAGCTTTCCTTGCTGCTAGTGCTGCAATTGCATCCTATTTGTTAAATCGGCCAGTAAAACTTACTTTGGACCGTGACATTGACATGATGATTACTGGTCAGCGGCACAGCTTTCTTGGAAAGTATAAGGTACTAATTATCTTTCAGAATCAACCACAAGCTTCATTCTATGCCATAAAGTTTTTGTATTTCGATTTTATATTAACTCACCAGTATATGGGGTCCAAGGATTACCATGATGTCAGAGAAATCTTTCTTGTTTGCATCTTTTTCTTCTTTTGATCATGGAATGTAGTTCTACTGGAAATTTATAGAAGATGAGACTGTAGAGCTTTTGACTTAATAAGAAAGTCTAATAAGAACACTATTGTGGTGATAAGTGGGACTTATCCATTAAATTGGAATTTCAAAACATTTGAAGAGTCCGTACATTTATAAGGTATCTTTAGATTTGACTATGACTAATATAAACACTGAGCAAGGAGTGAATAATTGAGTTTAAACTTTCATAAATGACCTAGATTGTTCAGTGAGATGGTGCTGTTGATTACTCTCCATTTCTTCACCACTGATCACTATAAAATTTTCCGAAATTTGGGTAGAAAACTCTTAATACGTCATCAATTGAGTCTTATCAAAAGAAGTATGGGTGATAAATTACAGAGAAATGAGGTCTCCTCCAATGTCTGAAAAAATTTTGTTGGACTATATGGTACATTGTGGATTATTTGGTGGATGATGAATGTGTCAATGAAGTAGGCCAAAGTGGTGCCTAGTTCCTTCTTGTCTCATTTTGGAACTCTATCCTGAGTTCATGTAATTCTTTCTCAAAGGAGACGTATATCAAACCAAATTCTTTTGGATGTAATTGATAAACTTTTTATTACAGTTTTCTTTTATTTCTTTTTTATTTTTTTGACTGAGTTAACTTCATTTTTTCTTCTTATTTTCCTGGAATAATATGGTGTAGGTTGGCTTTACAAACAATGGGAAGGTCCTCGCATTGGATCTTGAAATATACAATAATGGTGGAAATTCACTTGATCTGTCACTTGCTATACTTGAGCGTGCTATGTTCCATTCAGACAATGTCTATGAGATACCAAATGTCAGAATTAATGGAAGGGTCTGCTATACTAATTTTCCTAGTAACACGGCTTTCAGAGGATTTGGTGGCCCACAAGGCATGCTGATTACTGAAAACTGGGTTCAGAGAATTGCTATGGAATTGAAGAAAAGCCCAGAAGAAATCAGGGTATACCTTCCGATTTCACGAATTTAGATGCTTAGTAATGATTATTGCAGCTTTGAGTGAAGATGTCATTATTGGGAATGGAAAGGCATTTATCAATGAACTTTTCTACGTATTGAACGTCATACAAAACTTACGTGTGTCTATTTTTTCTTCTTTTAGGAAATAAATTTTCAGAGAGAAGGATCAGTATTGCATTATGGACAAAAGATAGAGCACTTCACCTTGGACCGTATCTGGAATGAGTTGAAGACATCTTGTGATCTTTATAACGCTCGCAAAGAAGTTGATCAGTTCAATAGTAATAATCGATGGAAGAAACGTGGAATTGCTCTAATTCCTACGAAGTTTGGCATTTCTTTCACTACAAAGTTTATGAACCAGGTTGGTGTTGCATTGGACTTTAATCTGGTTGCAGCCTTCTTAGTATTTACAATCGGACATGCAGACCAGCCTTCTGTCCAGATAATTTAATTGTGGCCTTATTAGCAGTCTTATTTCTCCTTGTTATTTGCTGCTAAAAGTGAACGTTATTGTCCAGACTTATAGGGCCTGTTCTCAACTGATTTTTTGAACCTGCTTTTAGCTTCTGATTTTACAATATCAGTTATGTGATGTTCTCAGTTGCTTTTTCTATCAACCTTTGGCTTTTGTAAAGCTAAAAAAAGCCAAAAGTAGAAGCTACAAGATACCTGCATTTTGGATTCTGATTTTGTCCTTTCAAATGTCAGCTTTTACAAAAATCAGAATCAGTTGAGAACAGGCTCATATGGAGCTGCCTTGCACCTTTATCTAAGAATTCTGAGAAGGGCTTGAAGGCTGTATAATCATATAAAAGAATTTGATTCTGGGACACCTTAGATGTTTTTTCTTTAGCACAATCATTCCTGTTTCTTCTGAAACTTTGAACTGGAAATGAGATCTTTTGTTGTCAATTTTTTTGGGTCTGTCGTGTAACTGGAGTTGCCTTGGTTCAGCTTATTTCAAAATGATTTTCTTTCTGAAAAAATACTACATGAGTACTTGATATGAGGTTCTCCTAAATGGCTACAGGCTGGTGCCCTTGTTCAAGTCTATACTGACGGAACTGTTTTAGTAACGCATGGGGGCGTTGAAATGGGGCAAGGGTTGCATACAAAGGTTGCTCAAATTGCAGCTTCTTCCTTTAATATTCCTCTGAGTTCAGTGTTCATCTCAGAGACGAGTACTGACAAGGTATTGCCATACTAATTACTTCTACATTTGGATACTCTCATATGCTTTTAAAGAACTGTTGCCATATTGATTTACTGTTGCCTCCAGTTCTTACCAAGGTGTTTGACTAATTTGAATTGACAGTGGTCTTTATTTGGTTGTTAACTTCAAGTCTGGCAATCAAGATTGAAGCAACACTACTTCTGCCTCCAATTTGTTCAGTCAGTAAACTTCAAAAACATGTCTTATATGGAGCTACTGACAAAACAAAGCTTAAGTAGCAAAATTGAACAAATAAACTATGTTTGTGGTCCCCAAAAATGATAGAACTCTTGGCTTTGGGCCTTAGTAGTGCTTATGGTCTGAGTACTAAAAAGCTTACATCCAATGAAAATTCCAACATGGTTTCCTAATTCTGCATTGTTCTCCCCTGTTTGGTGAATACTTGAAGTCAACATCTATAGTGCGGGAGTATCACAATTAATGATCTTTACCTGTCTGTTGCATCTGATTATGGACATCTTGGATATGAGTGGTCTGTGCTTCTATCACCAAGATAGGGTCATTGAAATCTGGCTTCTCAATCTTTTCCCAAGACTTCAATGAAAAAGTGAGTAGTTGGAACAAATAATAGGGACTTCTTTAGATCTCATTCCAAAAGTCAATGAACAACACCAAATTAATATTGCTTGATTTTGCAATGGCATCTTTTAGGTTTTCCCTTACTGTATTGCCTTCAAAAGTTGCTTTTTCAACCTCTACTTTCATCAGAAGATCTTTCATTCAAGTATAATCTTCACTGAGTTTTCATGAAGAGCAGTGTCTTGAGATTATATGATAATATTCTGTGTAAATTGCTGAAGAACAGTTTTGCTGAAGCTTCACAAACTTCAACTATCTCATTAGAAATTGCTGAGAACTGGATTACCCTTGTTGGAGCTTTAGATTCAACATCAGCAACAGATATACCTGATTTTCTGACTCTAGTGGCAGTATTAGTATCAGATCCTGTTTTTCCAGCTCTTGTTAAATGAATGATGAGGATTCTTGAAGCATCAAAAGTTTATCATGCTTCTCTGATCCATCTTTAAAAGCATGGTTGATTTGTTCCTGCTCTGGCAAGGATGAATTTAAGGTTTTGATTTCTTCAGCCTCGTAAGATGGCTTGGTTGTCCTAGTATAACATGATGGCTTTGTTGTTCTTAATGTAACATCAGCTTCCCTGGGCTGTGGCCAAGGACATCCATACATCTCATTCTGGCATAACTAATGTTTTTATTTGTGTGGATAACCTTAAAATAGCTGTAGTTGGATTAGGTTATTCAGTATGAAGTCCATTAAGTGCTCTTTTTTTTTACTTGAGTTTCGTCATTTCCAACCTTCCATGACTCAAGTACTGATTTACCTTGACAGCTTTGCTCAAAAAGCATCCTTTAGTTGACAAAAACTTCTTTTCCTGCAACTGCGTCATAATTTCATACTACAGACCAGCTTTTTATGTATTAATTGTTTTTTGAGGACTTGCAACAACTGAATGTTGAACAAACGGCTCAAGAAACTTAAGCACATAATCAATAACTAATATGTTTCCTTGCTCCAAAACATTATGTTGTCTCAAAAGTTGAGACAAGTCCAAATCTATTTGTTTAAGTTTTGTTTTATCTTCTTTTATGATAGCCATGATATAAAAAATGATGCAGCTTTTCTTAATGAGTTTGAAGACCAATCCGACGTAAAAATAAATATAAACGGAATAAAAGAAATGTAGGAATCACATCTAGGTTTTACTACTGTGTTACCATTAATTGCTTGAGTCCTGATGAACTTTGAATTCGATAAGTGCAATTCTAATAAGTATTATTGACGATTTGGAATTCCACTTTTGGAGTTCGAAAGTTGGAGTCAAGTTATGCTCCTAGAATACATGCTTTTTTTTTTTAGTGCCTCATCAGACAATTTCACATAATTATTTATCTAAATGTTGATGTTTTGAATAGTTTATCTGGAAAATTGCATAAAAAGTGATTTTTCTGATATGATCTAGAGAACCATTTCATGAGTATTGAACTTTGTCCCTTCTAAGTACCCCAAAGAACCTTACGCCCAGCCTTCTGCATTTAGATTGCGTAGAATTCTATGATACCTGATTATTCCTCGTTCTGGAACAGCTCAGAATCTAGGTAACCTTGGGAATGACTTTTGGTAAACGTAATGAGTCCCTCATGAGAGACTGGTATCATACAAAATATGGAAACCAATGTTTCATTTCTGCCAAAAGTTCCTTCTTCACTGATTTTTATCTCCTGTTGTAGAGGTGGTGTATATTGTATGCAGCTACTAGTTGATTTTACATCACAATGAAGTAATTTCCTGTGTACTTCAGTTTGCCGTTTAAATAAAAGTGCTTTACTCCTAAGCATTTGGCTAGAAGACTGGTCTTGCAAAAGAAAAGCTGGAAGTATTAAGATTGATCGAGTAACTAAACTATGAGCCTGGGCCCCAAAAGACAAAACTCTTGGACTGGGGCCTTGAAGAACTTAGGTTACAATGAAAACAAAACTGGAGATTGAACTTATGAATTGCCAGCAGATATCCATTTTCATCTCCATTTGAAGCTGCTATAGACATGTTATATATTAGTCTTAAGGCTCAAAATTGATTGACATCAAAGCTAAAAGGAAGTCATGTTCATTGGGTTGAATTATAATTTTGTATCATCAGTTCTTTAGACTGATTGAACTTATCCAGTTTCTTTTGTTTCACTTTGGCATGTGCATGTATTGTTGAATCTGATTGCTGATTTCATTGATGGCTATATATTACTAGGTTCCAAATGCAACTCCAACAGCAGCTTCTGCAAGTTCTGATATGTATGGTGCTGCAGTTCTGGATGCTTGTGAACAAATAAAAGTTAGGATGAAGCCCATTGCATCAACACGTAACTATAGCTCTTTTGCTGAGGTACTTGCTACACTATGAAACATTTTTATTTGTGCACTCTGCTTTCATTGTATTTGGCTTATTCTGCTTGCTGATCTCTGTTCGGTGGGTCATAATATTCTTTATAACAAAAAGATAAAGAGCATGTTTGGATAGGAAATTGTTTGGAAAAATTATTTGAAATAGCACTCTAGCACTTCTTGTAATGTGATGTATGTGAGATAAAAAGATGGTTGGGAAGATAAAAAGGTGTTTGAAAAACGTGTTTATGATGCAAGCAAAAAATATTTTGGCAAATAAGATCATATCTAAACAGTTTCAAAGACTTTCATATACCATTACTGGCGGAACATTAAGTGTGTTTGGATTGAGATGATTTGAAAAAAAATAATTTGCTTCACAAATTCCAATCACCTTTTTATCTCACATACATCACATCACAAAAAGTGCTACAGTAATTATCTCAAATAAATCATTCAAATAAACTCCTATCCAAACAAACTCATGTCTAAACAGTTTCAAAGACTTTCATATACCATTACTGGCGGAAAAGAAATTTTATGCCAAATAGACTTTCATAACAGTTTCATATACGATTTATGGATGACAAGCAACCCAAATAGTGTAAGAGCAGTTATTAGTCTGAATCTTCAAAATAAAGCAGAACTCCTGGGAAAAGAAAATGTTCCACACTAACTGATTCAGGTCCATAAGCACCCCTAGTGGTACAAAAAGAGTGGTTGTGGTGAGACTTAGATACCCTTCCAGAAATTTTAATTTGCTAGTGCCTCGTTAAATTTCTGTCTGTCAATCAACAATTGCTGGTGCTCATCTTTTTCTCTCTGGCTCTCCAATGTTAGGAGACTCAAATGATAAATCTTGTTGAAGTTTCCCCATTAAGCGACGAATGCCCAGAATACAATATGCCGTTTTATATTTTGATGCGATATACTTCTCTGCTTACGTACAGAGGGGAAAACAGAAGAAGTTCGATATGTGTAGTGATTTTCCTTATACTTTGCCTGATAAAAAAAGAGCTCATGTGCAGTTGCTGGAAGGTCCATATTCATTAACAGCTCCTGTTTGCAGGCCTTTGGTCAACTATACGAACCTGATGTGCACAGAAAATCTAAGCATTAAAGGCATATATGAAAAAAAGGGTTGTTATCCTATATAAGAGGCTCAAAGAAAAAAAGTGTTCCTTTCTTATTTTCTATTTCCTCTTCCACCCCTATTTGGTCTTCTTTGTCACCTTCAATGACAGCCATCGCATCAATGACCACCACCACCAACAACCCACCACCATGGCCACCAAACCAACAATTATCAACATTCCAAAGCATCAGTACCACCCCGGTGAGGAGCAGTAAAAGAAAGGAAAGACAGAAGCAGGAGGGGAGGGTAGTAGATCCGAGAAACAATTGCTGAATGGGGGTGGGAGAAGAAATTAGAAGGCAATGCAGACTGCAGTTGAAAGTAAGGTCTCCAGAGAAATTTGGGGGAGGGCCGCAGGGGCAGAGAGAAGAAGTAGGATTGCCAGCATTAGGCTGAGTGGGTTTAGGCGAATGGTTATATTGTCAGAACAGGAAGGGGGTGGAATAGCACTGGGGCAACAGAGGAAGAAGGTTATGAGTGTCCTAATTCTCAGTTTTTGAAGTTTTCAGTGCTAGGCGCACTGTGAACTCATAGAGTATCATTATTCTGTGAAAAAAAATTTTCAACAGTTTATAGCAGAGGAAAAGTTGTTTTATGTCTGCTCTTTATTTTATCACTTATACATACAACCTGGAGAGATCTTTGTTCTTTTTTCTGATATTATTAGTATTGCGCATATCTAAGGCCATAGTGTGCTTCGGTCTGGATTTTCTGCACTTTTTTACTTTTTGAGATAGTTTCCCAATATAAGTTTGCTTCAATATGCTGCAATATATTTCATGTTCATATTGGATTGCAGCATGTGAATTCGAATAAGAAAGTTTTTTGAGTTGTAATTTTAGTTCCATCTTTAAGAGGATTTTGGGTTTTCTCCTCGGGTTGTGACTTTAGCTTTTCTGCCTGCTTTTTGGAGCTGGATAAAAAGGGGAAAATGAGAATTTTAACACTGTTTTTGTTTCACTGAGCAGCTAATATTATATGTGACTGACTTTATGTGGGCTGAATTTTTATCAGCTTGCAAATGCCTGCTACATGGAGAGAATTGACTTGTCTGCCCATGGGTTTTTTATTACACCTGATATTGGCTTTGATTGGAAAACTGGTGAAGGGATTCCATTCAGGTACTTCACCTATGGAGCTGCTTTTGCTGAAGTTGAAATTGACACGTTGACAGGAGATTTCCACACTACAAAAGCAGACGTTACCTTGGATTTGGGGTTTTCTCTCAATCCTGCAATTGATGTCGGGCAGGTTATTCTCTCATCAACCCCTCTATTATATTTTATTGCATCCAATGCTAGATTTTTGTGCACTTTTAACTGCAGAGAGTAATCGTGATCAGATGGTGGTATGTCATAGCTTCTGTTCTTGGTGCCAATGTTTTTGTGTCAAATCCACACTGATGTGTCTGAGTATGTGTACTAATTCTTATTCTTTTGGTGGTGTTTGTAAAGAGATATTGTAGATAGGCTCACCAGAATCGCTTAAAGTGGAAACAGTTAATTCATGAAAGTTGAATAATTGTCTGGATCTGAATACAAAAAAATAAATAAACAAATAAAAACAAACACCTTTAACATCTCAAAATCTAACTATGGGGATTAAATAAACATCAATTCAAAGCTTTCAACCTATGATAATTTTAAGCTGCAAACCTTGCCATTCTGCCAAGGTTCATGGCCAAAAAAAAAAAAAGATGGTTTAGACTTTGCTTCTTTGAGCTTTATGTCTTGCAGTTTATCTAAACCACATTTTTCCAAACCTCGAATGGAAGTCTAAAGCAACTACCTGTTGCTTAAATGTTTCTTCCTATAGTGCATGGAATATGTTTATGAACTGTAATAGAAATTTAAATTCATATATTTCACTCATGAGGGCCTGTTCTCAACTGATTTTTTGGACCTGCTTTTGGCTTCTGATTTTACAAAATCAATAATGTAATGTTCTTAACATGTTTTTTAAAGATTTTGGCTTTCTATAATCTGACAAAGGACAATCACAAGCTAAAAGATAACTGCTTTTTGGTTTCTGATTTTGGCTTCTAAAAATCAGCTTTCACAAAAATCTGAATCAGTTGAGATCAGGCCCCAAGTCAATTGGACTTTGGTTTAATGAATTCTACCTGCTTTCTGTGCTTTTGGTTTGAATGAGCTTCATGCTGTTGCTTATGTTATATGCAGCTTTTCTAGTAAATTTTATTGGCTGTTCCACTATAATGTGACTTTTAGCTCATTCATAATTGATGCATCATCATATTTTGACAGAGATTAGGCCAATTTTAGGAGGAATCAGTTCTATACAAAAGAGAAAAATTCCATCTGCTGTTGTCTTTTTTGACATTGCCTTTTATATGCCATTCACACTTTTGACATGCTTGGTCATTAAAATATTCACAGTACTGCCTCAACATTTCATTGTCTCAAGCTGAATGTCCATTGTCCAATATGTGACAAAATAGCAATTATCTCTTGTTCAAGGCTTGGCTGTTTGTAGATATTTTTCTCTTGTTGACAAAACAAATATATTCGTCTTCCTGTTTCATTGTTAACTTCTTGAATATTGTATGTTAATCTTTAATTGGAGTTCATGACTTGGAAGTATGTTAGATGGAAGAGAAGACAAGAATTGTCAATAACGAAGAATAGCCTGTAGATATGGCTTTGATTTTGTTTGAGAGAAATTGCTCAAGCAGCACAACCCATGTATAGTGTGTCGACTAATTTGGATATATATTTGCTGTTGGGGGTTGATGAGTAAAATATAACTCCTACGTCAATTATGGAAATCAGGAACGCATTTATATATCCATCAATGGGTTAAGTAGCAGATGCGAATATGGGGATTCCGCATCATGGCCATTGCAGTTTGGGTGCTGTAGCTAGTGGGCAAAATAAAGGAGCTTATGATGCACAGCCTTCAACTTAGAGTGCATTGCTACTAGAATATAAGAATCGCTGTAATCGTAAATCTAACTAATTGATAGGGGAGCAGTCAGCCACTTTAAATCAACTAGTGTTCTCCCAAATACTTCTACAGGAATTATCTTTTTAACAAATTATTGTGTTTATGTGGAATTTTCAATGATTTTCAGGATGCCTCAGATGCTTTGGCCAACTTGATGCAGTTCAAGTTGATGTATATTCAATTGAGAAATTTGGTCAAGGTTTTGGCAACTTTGTGGTGCATATTGACACAAAGTGCTTATTAGATGAGCTAGGTTCACTAGTCAGCCATTTTGACAAATAGGAAGAGTATGTGCCTATGGATATATTCGGGTTGAGAGATGGCCACAAATATTTGCAATCTCCAGTTAATAGTGTAAAGTTCCTTCTTCCTTGGGCCTAAGGGAGGATGGCATCCCGTGATCAATCCTTGGAATGCTTGCCGTTACATTTATGAACTGCCTTTTTCCCATTGTTCTGATTTTATCCACATTTTAACATACTTTTCCCTAGCATACTCTTGCCAGGGCCACACTGAAATCCGAGAAGTAAACTTGCGTTTCATTCATTATGATGTTCATCCAGAGAGGGATCTATTTGTTGACAGTTGATTTTCTGCAGTTAATTGCTTTTTAGACGCTTAGTATAAGACTAGCACCAGTGAAGGGTTAGCTATTACGCTTTTACCTGAGAACCTGAGACTTTTAACTGTCCATGAGAGTTTTGGTGCATAATGATATTGTAATATAGATCTGAGACAGGAGTGATAATGATTGTACAAGAAGAACAAAATCCGTGAAAGAGAGGTGAATGTGAGATCCCTGAATAATTCCCTGTATCCAACTGAAGTATATTATATGACAAATAAACTGATGACCTTAGTTCCCTTAAGATCTCTAAAACTATCTCTCCTTGCGTTCATGAAGAAATAATATCTGATTTTGGATATGAGCATGCAGATTGAAGGAGCATTCATACAAGGTCTTGGATGGGCAGCATTGGAAGAGTTGAAATGGGGAGATCCTGCACACAGGTGGATTCCAGCTGGCTTCTTATACACTTGTGGTCCTGGAAATTACAAAATTCCCTCTGTCAATGATGTGCCCCTTAAATTCAACATTTCTCTTTTGAAGGTAATCATGCTACTATCTTTTTGATATCTATTGTTGTACGCTTGTAAGATGCATTGGACGGATGTCAAATTCCAAATATTGTCGGTTAGATGATAATCTGATTTAGTAATTGATATTTACCACTTATTGAACTCACTTTAGCCGATGAATGTGATTTTTTATCATGATATATGTCAGCAATTAGTTGGAATTCGAATAACATCCTTTTATGTAGTAGCAGCATGCAAAATTCTATGCACACCTACATTGAAATTTATGTAGTCTTTGCAGGGTTATGGTTAAAAAATGTGTCATTGAATAGTGGTATGGTCATAGAAGGCAATATTTTATCGTTAATAAGAAAATATAAGGTCCTTAGAAAGTTAGGTAAACCTTATCAATACTTGTTTCTTGGCTTGTGCATAGGCTCTAAAATGGTTTATTTTCCATTTTGGTTGCTTTTTTGGTTTTGGTTTTGGTTTGGATGATTTCAATTCTTACATCCTGTTTTTGGTAAAGGTGGAAACAATAAATTCCGTTATCCATTTTACATTTCAATCTACTTAAAAAAGAGTGTTCACAAGTTGAATGTGGTACATATTGTCATGCAATCTGTTGGTACCTAATTGACTTTCGTGCTTGCAACAAAATATATCTTAATTTGGCCGAACAGAATCGAGCATTAGCAATGCATTTTCTTGTGCAAACTAAATCAATTTTCTTAAAGAGAGGTGAAGCTCTATGCTATGGGTGAGCACTATTTCTCTAATAATAGCTGCACCGGATGCTAATCAGAAGTATGGAAAACTTTGAACATATTTATTATACAACTTTCAATTCTCTGTCTTCTTGTTCCAGAAGCAATATTCTTAGCTTCTAAACAGAAATTGCTAGATTTTGGTGAAAGAGAATTTAGTTCAGCTAATTTCCTTGGAGCAAGTCTAAAAAGGAAATTTGGGAACCTGGAAATATAAGAGCTGGTAAAGTGAAGCAGCTAAAATGTTGCATTTCCCTGATTTATAAGCAGTCAGTAGTGTAGACTAAAGTAAACAGTATTATGTGCATTTTCCAGGTAATGTTCTTTGTCAAGGTGAATTCTGTCTAGAGATTATATCTTTGCGCAAAGTTTTTCTTGGGGAAATATTTCTCTCTTTAATGCTGTTTCATTTGCTTACCTCTTTTCTTGTATGCTATACAAGGGTGCTCCAAATGCTAAGGCCATCCATTCATCTAAAGCTGTGGGGGAACCTCCATTCTTTCTTGCCTCAGCAGTCCTTTTTGCTATAAAAGATGCTATAGTTTCAGCAAGAGCAGAAGTAGGTTGTAGTGACTGGTTTCCTCTAGACAATCCAGCGACACCTGAACGCATCCGGATGGCTTGTACAGATGAATTCACTAAAGCATTTGTAGACTCGGATTTCCGCCCGAAGCTCAGCATTTGATAAAAACTTACCCTGTATTTATTGTAAGAATCATACTCGTACATCTTTGTGTGACTATTGTAGCTATGTAATTCCAACTCTGAAAAGTGAAAGCAATAAAAAAAAAAAATTTGTTGTATTATGGTATTGGTTAAAAATGTTGTATTATGGTATTGGTTAAGTAATGAGGTTGCGAGGTATCAATAATTGTGCTATTCCTACTCATTATTTGTGCCATGAAATTCCAATGAAGAAAATAATGTCAAATCTTTGCTGTGAATCAGCTGCTCAAATATGGTTTTGAGCACTGAACTTGAGAATTGCTTTAGGAGGAATGTTTTTATGCGGTGCTAATGATTTCTTGACTATGTTTGTAGCTCCAGAATGTTTGAGTTTATGGTCCTAACTATTATTTGGATACACCAAGAAAGATGTACGGTTTAATGTGGCTATTATGTATAATATTTACTCATTGGTGGTGCTAGCTCTTCTGAAGTCATTTTTCATACAGATTTGATTTTCTTTTTTTCTATTTTTCCCCCTTCTTGGGGGTTATTGTACGGGAGTACATTTTGTTTGTGATAAATATGTACAGGTGCTAAAAGGTGCACTCCGAAACATCCCAACTGATCGAGAAATAAAATTTGGTTTATCTGCATCAGGGAAGAAGATGTACATTTGCTATGGAGACCAGGTTAATTCGATGAATATTGCTGCACATTCAATTGGGTTATCTTTTAATAATTTGATGTCGAAGTCGATATTTTCAGAAAATTGATGCAAGTCCTTTTTGTTTTTCAGGAAATTGACTTCTTTGCTGCAACTTTTATCCCTTTTTTGTTTCGTTGCATTTATGCTGTCATCCAAAGCAGCTCGAGTTCAAAGTCAACATCAAGTTCGAGTTGACCAAATCGAACTCGAATTCGAGGTCAAGCTCAAAAATATTCAATTCGTTAACTCGCGAGTCGATCTGATTATATATATATTTTTTTGTTTTAAATTTTAATAGTACAATTACATATATATTTCTAATATTTTATTACTATTTGTTAAGAAAATTTATTATTTTATTTATTTTTTAAAGATAAAATAATTTTTATTTTTATTTTTTAAGCTCAAACTCAACTCGAATTTGAGTTGAGTTCGAGCACGAACTTTACATTAAGAGTTCGTCGAGTTTGAGTTCGAGTTGCATAAAATTAAGTTAAGATCCAGTTCGATTAGGTCAAATCTCGACTCGATTCGGTTCGTTTGCACCCAAACATGACTGCAATTTTCAATTTGGGACTCACATTAATCATTTTGAGATCACTACTTCCTATAAGGGAAAATCGTTCAAAACGTCCCTCACATTTTATAAGATGATTTTTTCTGTCTCTTACTTTTAAAAGTGTAATTTTACATCCCTTACAAATTCACATTGATCAAATTTAGTCCCTATCTAGGTTTTCGACTAATTTTTAACCGGAATCTACCACGTGCCTTGCATGTGATCATTTTTAAGGGTAAAATTATCATATCAAATTTTACATAATTTGATTCATAATCCCTCACATTTCGCAAATGAATTTTTTTGTCCATAACATTTTACAAAATGAATTATTTCGTCCCTCACATTTTTCAAAATGAATTTTTTCATCTCTCATTGATTATGTGTACGAATAGCTTTTTTTCTTTAAATCCATGTATATATCTATTTGATTTCACCTGAACAGTGCGAATAGCATATAATATATCTTTATTTGATTTCATTTAAACAGGTTAATCGTAATTGTGCATATGCTATTCAACATATATATACAGAAGTTTAAAACTAATAATTTTGTTTTAAACCATATATATATCTAAATGATTTCACCATGTGAACCTATTCAATATTTGTGACGTTTTTATTTTGGTAATAATTTATTTATTGAGTTGTATAATAAGGTCATCTAATTAATTGATCCTAACTTAAATTCTATAGTTGTGCTAACAAATTGCAATTTAAATCTGAAATTTTTACTCACCACTTTTAAGACCAACAATTGAATTACTTGCCTTGTAATTGTTTTCAAATTTAAAAGTGCCAATCACTTACTTCTTTTTATCATACTTTTTATTTGTTTATTTTTTCTATCCAAATTTAATTCGATATAAACGCTCGATAATGTTTAGGTTTAAATGTCTTCTTTGTTTTCAATTTTTGAGTAACGAAATGAATATGAGTGAAAAACTAATAATTTTTTTAAAATCCATGTATATATCTATGTGATTTCACCTGAATAATATGAATAGCATATAATATATCTCTATTTGATTTCAAATAGAGATATATTATGTGCTATTCATACTACTTAGGTGAAATCAAACATATATATACATGTGTTTAAAAAAATTATTCACACACATGATCAATAGGGATGAAAAAATTCAATTTGAAAAATGTGAAGGATGAAAAAAATTTATTTTGTAAAATGTGAGGGACTTATGTAAAATTTGATTTGACAATTTTACCATTAAAAAATGATCACATTCAAGGCATGTGGTGGATTCCAACCAAAAACTAGTCAAAAACCTAGATAGGGATCAAATTTGATCAATGTAACTTTGTAAGGGACGTAAAATTACACTTTTAAAAGTGAGGGACGAAAAAAGTTATTTTATAAAATGTAATGGACGTTTTGAACGATTTTCCATTCCTACAACTCATATTCACCATATTTAAAGTCCTTGTGTGAGTTTTTCCAGATGGTCGATTTTAGCATATGAGTTCTTGAAAAACGAAAACAATTGAGTTTGAGGTTTACAAAAAAAAATGATAAAAGTTCCACTTTCGCGCTCCACTAGTCCACTTGATGCATCTTTGGTTCTAACAATTGATTCTCACTGTTCTTTAGGCAACTGCTCGAGTCTTTTGTCGAAAACAAGCGAGAGTCCAGTTTTTATTGTACAAGTGTCGACAATAAAATTTTAATTTATTTTATTTAATTAAGGTTAGGTTAATTAAATCTATCTTGGTCTGAGCGGGGATAGCATGTTTCTTCTTCGTGTCCACAGAGTTTTGAACAATCAAATATTATTTCGCGGCATTTCGTATATGAGCTTCTTTTTTTTTTTTTTGAAATATCTTTGAGCTTCTTCAAATTGGGCTTTATGAGTATTGGTACCAATTTGATCATTCCGATAGGGCGGGGCAATGAAAATTAATTATTGGGCACAGACAAATCGGTAAAACAGTAATAGCGACAAATATATATTATTCAATCAATCAGGTCAAACATAATATGTGTTTATGTAGCTATTTATCAAAAAAGTACTTTTTGTGGCGTGATTTGTAACTACTTTCCATGAAAATGGAGCAACAGGATACACCGTTGTGATAGTTGGAAAAACTGTATTCCTTTTCTACATTATAATATCTCATTCCTTAGATGGAAGCAGTTCTAACTAAATATTTTACTTATTGTAAACAACACACTTCAGTTATTAACAATGATCTCATCAAACAAGCACAAGCGCAAGTTTATGAAAAAATATCTCTTCTATTATGAAAGTCGCATAGGTGGAAAACTTATTCAGAAGATTTTTGGACTTACAAAATTTTATGCCAATGCTAGGGGGCCTTAAATTAAATTTATGGCACAATGTCCACTAATTTTAAGTGGATTCATCAGTCAAAATAATTCACAATGGATTACTTTGGCTTGATCAATTTATTGAAGTCTATTTCATGTCTTTATTTTTTTAAGCTACAAATCACCCAACTCATACCAAAAGATTCTAGGGGCATTTATTTAAAGCCAATATAATACAAATCTTACAAAAGGTTTTTTGTGTAAGGAATCAAGCATACATGCACAGTAAAAAATTTAAATTTTGATTCCTACAAATAGATATTCCTTTGATTGGTTCCACAAGATGAGGAGTTAGTTAAGAAAATTGCGTTCAAACAAGATAAAGATCTTCTTCTTGTTGCTACGTGATGCATCGTTGCATTTACTTGAAACTATCCATGCTTTTAGCCTTTAATAATGATCCATATGAGCTCCTTAGCAAGATACCTTTTAGATTAGAATTGCTCAAACTAGATAAGTGCAAGCTTTCACTGGGAACTTACCACACAAGTTGATAGAATCTAGACAAATTAAAATTCTAGATTTTCTCTAGAATCTCACACAACTTGAATTGGTGTTATTTCTTGCTAATTTAATCTATGATAGTATTTATAGACAAATTAAATTCTCTAATTATTATAAAAAAAAAGGCAAGTGTTTTCCAAAAAGATTAGTTTTCATCTTCTAATACAATTTAAAAGATTTAATCTTATTTATTCCATAGGTCCGTCAATTTTAATTTATCTCATAAATTAAAATATAAATTATTACTTATCATTCAAAGTTATTTGAAGCCCGTGAGGCGAGGAAAAATGCAAGGTGGGACAGGAAGAGTTTTTCTCCCCTCATTTTTAAACAAGGCGGAGGGTGGGCTCCCCTACTTCATCTCCTACTTAATTTTTTTAATGCATCATACAAATATATATATATATATATATATTATACATTATATAATACAATTATTTGCATGCAATATGAAATTGATAATGTGATATTTTCTTATGATAAAATAATGTAATCTTGCTTGTTAATTTTTTGTGGTTTAATGATAAACTTGTTACATTAGTTTACTTTATCTTTTGTTATGAAATGTAGTTTATTAAAAAAAATAGTAAATGACTTTGATTTTATGTAATATCAAATCTAGAGAACGGATTCACAAAATAAAAATAATTTTTAACCTATATTTCACGTAAAATTTTTTGCTAAAAATTCAAAAGAATGATTATTAAATTCATTATTAGTATTATATGTATGTATGTATGTATGTATGTGTGTGTGTGTGTATATACATATATATAATCAAATATAAAAATAAAAATAGTAGTAGGGCAAAACGAGGATACCCGTAGGGGTAATGAGGCAGGGAGAGGGACGGGATGGGGTGAGGGACGAGGACTACAAACGAGCCAAGTCGAGTTGAACTTTGGCCTAATCGAGCCGAGACTCGACATAATTTCATTGAACTCGAACTCGAGCTCGAGCTCGACGAGCTGACAATTTCAAGTTCAAGCTCGAGCTCGACTGGATTCGAGCCGAGTTCGAG